ATATAATAAAATAAACTACTTGTACTACTTGTACTACTTGTACTACGATTCCTTCTTCATGGTTTTTCACTTATTGCGTGTCTTCAGGGTACGGATCCCCCGTGATAAGCGAGGGTACATTTAATTGTTCTTCAGGCTTATAAGTGGACTCTTTTACACGAAAGCCACACAAATGAGAAAAAAATGTTACATTAGTTAATATCATGTTCAGGCTGCTGTTTAATACAACTTATTTATATTATATTAGTACCATTTGGCATATATCTTAGATCTTTATGTACTGTTTCTTTGTTTTATACTTTATATTTTTGCTATTTTGGGGTGTAAATGAGACCTTGAGTACACAAAATGTAGACTGTTTGCACAGCAACTCTAATGCACATTTTATTTTTTTGCTCAAATTTGATTTCTTTGTGGTATATTTTAAAAACGCCCCTCAACAGACCTAAGTGTGAACTTACTATGGCTCTAAAGCGACCTGCACGCACAGAAGATGTGACGTCACATGAGGTCTGCCGTGTTTATGGAACTACGGATCCTACACACCAGCATGTGTGCATCTATTCTGAAGTTGTTGTGCAAAAGGAGCCAGTTAAATCATTATCTGACCTGATTGTTACATTACATACATCCTGCCTCTTGCTAGCTAGTCTGAAACAGGATTTTATTTTTGGAGTAGTAGTGACACATTTAAAAGTGAAACTTACTCATCGATCCCATGATCTATTTCATCATGTTGCTGTGTTCATTCATGCTCATCTGCTCACACAGACTCATGTTCGTGCTGCTGGTCGGCGTATTGCTTTCTTACTACTAGTACTTAGTGTATTTTTTGTTAACGTTTTACTTAGTTCATATCTTAGATCTTATTACTGTTTTTCTTTTACATTTAATGCTTTTGTTAGATATCTGGAACCCTGTATACACAATTTAGTTCCACCACATGTGATGTAAATGACAAATAAAGAACCTTGAATCCTTGAGTTATATTAACATGATATCATATGTTGCTGTAGATTCTCAGTCATCCAGGATATAGCAATAAAAAAAAGAGAAAAAAAAAGAAAAGGACTTCATTTCTGTACCTGAAGGTGTGCAGTCCCAAAATTTAAATTGCATGAGGTTGGTATCAATATTATGAACACTTGGATCAAACCACATATGTTTCCTTCACTGACGTAAAAGTTGGATAAAATGCAACACGACTGTTTAAACTGCAGTCACTTTGAAAATTATATATTCAGACATGCATTCAATTTCTGTACCACATATGAAAAATGGGTCAGGTTTGATTAAAAAAAAAAGGATTTGTCACGTTCAGATTGTCATAAAATATTTAGACATTGTTGCATATGGGCAACAAAAAGTCAATGATTTTGCATCAGCAGACTAAATCATTCAGGGAGCATGTCACTGGATGAGTCATGGCAGGGACTGGTTCAAACTGAAATTTTAATCTGTCATTTTCTACAGTCTTACCAACTTACTTTGATTCAGTTTTATTGTACTTTTTATAGGCCTTCTTTGGCTTACTTTTCCTTTTGTATGACTAACCCTAAATCGAGCACTAAATATACCATGACCTCTATGTTCTCCTTTGCTGGGTGTCATCAAAAACGACAGTAGATGAGTGTTGAGCAGTCTTGCTTTGTCGATCGTCCTCGAATTGAGGCAGCACTCAGTCGTATGGAGAATCACAGAGAGCATGTAGAACTGAATTAGGAAGAGATGGTTCGCTCTACACTTGACGACAGCTTGACAGCTCAGACAGAGATGCGTTCAGCCGCCTCAGCACCAACGGCATGATGCTCAACCCAAATGCATTTGCTGAGTAAAAGTTACGTTGTTCGGTTGAGAAAACAGTAACACACTAAACAAACATTGCCATGTAAAGGTGTGATATTATTCAATGTTTAATTCTTCCACACCAGTATGAGAAAAATGTATTATAAGCCTGAAAAACTAGCCTAGCCTCGCTAAAGACTTCTGCTCTTTCCTCCAACTCAACAACTAGACAGAATATTGCTCTGACTAAAGATAAGTTACAAACTAATGATAAACACTTGACAGTTCATCACTTCAAAAGCGACCAGACTATCCCTTCAAGAACCCTGTGCACCCCAAAACGCACACTCCAGTGTTGCTGCCAACTCCGTAGAAAGAAAACACAACCTGCTAGTTGTCAACAAAATTAGACTTTATTACCAGCTTTAGCACAGATAAGAGGATATGTATGTGTGTGTGTGTGTGCGTGCACTGCAAATACCCACCCCTTCATTAGGGTAAGCCTCCCAGCCAAGGTCGGCCAGTGCTGACATGGAGTCCAACAAAGTAACTGCAATGACAGAAAAAGAGAACAAACATCAAAAACAAACCCTCCCAAACACCATTTACTTTAAATATCTTTTCAGAGCAATTGTGTTAAAAAAAAAAAGTATTGCATAACACTCGGTTCTATTGTAAACTATTGTGCAAAAAAAAACTTGTTTTATTACATTTTATACTAGGATGTCTTTTTCTGTTTGTGTACACAGACGGTGGGATCACTAGCAGTGTTAACCTATAATTTCATCAGTAAAATAACTGTGGTTACGATGTAGCTGTTAACAGCTCGACACAAAGTCAATGAGCGAGACAACGGCATGAAGACAGGCTGTATTTTACTGCTAAATATTATATTTTTGCCATTAAAACAGTAGCTAAGTCTATTTTGACTGCCAACTTAAATGCAAGTCACGAAAGCACGGGATGTGTATTTAACCAAAAATGTGTTTAGAGCAAATGGTCCCTGGACGACCGGAGGAGGTGGAAGAGAGGTTGTCAGAGTGTGAGAAATATATTTGACCCAAACTGGCAGGATGATCAGCGATACGCACAAAAAAAAAACTTGTTTCTTTACTATAAAGTCTTTACTCATTTGCGTGTACTCTTTTTGTACGTTGGCTCTGCTACTTTGTCGTCTGTCGAAGTCATCAATTCGTTACCTTCAATCCTTCTGTCTTAGATCAACCAGTGGGACCATTTAAGAACATCTTTACTTTAAGAACGATTCCAGCAAAGTTCAGTCAGGTCATCTCAACGAAACAAACAAAAGAAACCATCCAGATGGCCTGACTGAACTTTGTTGGATTGTTTATCTGGATTATTGAGCATGAACTTTGATGTTTTGAATCACTTTAGCTACGGCTGCCTCAGAGGAGTCGACGAGGGAGAGGGCAGGCCCCAGAAACCATCTTGTCACCAGCAAACTGGTTGGTCCACTATGAGCGTCCTGCTTGTGGGACTGAGTTTGTTGTGGCTTCTTGGACTGATGAAGTCCTTTGGATGAAGGATGAAGCATCTCAACAACAACAAAAATAAGAAACAGTCCAGATGACCTGACTTAACAGTGTTGGGTTTTTAGAATCTGGATTATTGAACATGAACATTGATGTTGAAGAAATATGATTTGCCCAAACTACCTAAAACTTGCTACCATAATGGATTAGTTGCTTTTCTGCTGTTCTGAACACAAATAAATACATAGCTGAAGAGTAGCCATCGTCTCTGCCCAGCTACTGGTAGATACAGCAAAATGACTTCCTGTCTTTCTCTCTTCTTTTTTCTCTACTTGTCATGCTCATGCTGTTCATCAGAGCTACCTGACTCCAAGCCCTTCCATTCAGCTCAGCACAGCACAGCAGCAGGAAGAGGGCTGCCATGCTGGGGTGCTGTAAGTGTGTATACATGTGCGCTGCACACATGTAATGGCTTACATCTGCATGTGTCCGCACGCACTCGCACAAAGCAGCGGCTGAGAAAGAAAACTTTGGGCAAGATAATCGTGCACACGGTGTAATAATAAAGCAGAGAAGGCTGCTGCATGTTGGAGCCAAGCTGCGAGAGAGAGACTAAATGAGAGGGATGAGACGGAAACAGCAGAGGGGAGGTGCTGTGAAGCAAAAGGTCAGAGCAAACCTCCAGCCCTTGAGTGTATTTTGAGGAACTAAAGACCATTTAGACTGTTTTTCTCACTTCATGGGCTTTTAAAAACGTGCATAAAGATTGAGCATAATAATATAATAATACATGATTTCAGGAACCAGTGGAGAAACACACATAGGCTTTTTTTTTCAAGACTAATCATACGTAAGTAAAGAGATGAGTATATTATATATAAAGTTGGTGAAATTGTTTGATTCAAATGTGGCTAATTGGTGACTTCTTTATGACTTATCACACTAATGTAACATTGCCAAATGCTTTCATAAAGAGGTCAACTCTGGACATCTTTTATACATTTTTAAATGGATTATTAAAAAAAACACACACACACAAATGGAGAGGTTTTTTTTTTCGTTTTTCTTTTTTGATATAATGGTCCACCCCAGCCTAATTGAGGCAAAGGATGCATGACATTATTATTGTTAGACCTTTACTTACAGGTTAGTTCCCACTGAGCCTCGAAGTCTCATTTACAAGAGAGACCTGTTATATAGGGTGGGGGAAGCAAAAAAAAATCATGTCTCATGCCATGTCCTGTCTGGGAAATAGTGTAAAAGATGAAAAAAAAGACGTTGCAAAAATGTCAGTATTAAAATAAAATTTTAAAAATAGTATTTTTTGTGGGAGGGGGTATGAAAAAAGTTGAGATATTTTTAACAATTTGTTGTATTTTTATTTTTTTTTACTGCAACTGACCTAACAATTTCCCTCTGGGAATAAATAGTCACTTAAATTGAAAAGTCAGATTAATATATTTATGATAATATACTTGATGAATTTCTTCTGCTTAATTCTGATTTTTTTATTTGTCTTTTTTTGTATGATTTTGATGAGCTGCCATGACTGAAATGTATATAAATAACTGAAATTTATTGTATTTTTTTTGTAATCCCAGGGCTATGATTTGAAAAGTGAAAAAAAAAAAAAATGCTGTGAAAATCTTTAGACTCAGTCACACCTGAGTTGGTGACAGAGACTGAGTTCCACTCGTCAGATTTTACATTTAGATCATGGACGAGCTCAGAAAGTTTACCAAAGCTCTGTGACTGTGTGTCAGGACTTTATCTCAGAAGGACTGGCTTTTTCTGCATCACATTGTATTTCTGAGAGCTGTTGGCTTCACTTAAACAGCTAGTCTCCAACACACGCCAGCTTCTGTAACTCATATAAATGATCATCTCTTAGCTTCAGTGCCTAATTTAAAGCAATACTTCTAGCCTAACACCACTCACTGTGTAAACTTTAGCCTGAAAATGAATATGAATATCTGAATTAAACAGAGGGTAACTTCATTTGTTGGAAAAATAAAGTCAGGTTGATATGAACCTTACACAGTGTATGCTTTCATAATTTATTATTGTAATTAAAAAAAAGGATATGGTTTTATATCCTAGTCTTTTTCAATACAGCGTTATTGCTCGCTCATTAATGTTTAGTTTAAAACTCTAGCATGAAAGGTGGCGGGTGATATGCATTTCTTGAAGAATGCTAGTTTTTTTTTTATTTTATTAGGTTATTCTTGGTCACTATCAATGTAAAAAAAAATGGATATGATTTGAAGCAACGCACAGGTGTGCAATTATTTGTCTACAAACAACTTTGGTACTTGTGATTTATTAAAATTTTATGTACCGTGACTTTTAATGCCTTTATAAGCAAACAATGCTGCAACAAAGGACCATGGTGCTCCAGCTCCTAGAATAATGTACTGGAGGTGTAAGAACATCTCCAGTCAAGTCAAGTAACTGTGGATTACCAGTAAACGGCATAAACTCTTTATGATAATTATATGCAGCTTCACCCGCGTCTCAAACCGTGTGTTTTTTGTTAGCTTTATTTAACCGTTTTCCTAAACCTAACCTTACACCTGACCCAGAGCACTGACCTTAAACTTAACCCCCAGGCACTATCATCAGCGATAACAAGGAGCCTTTAAACCTACTAGGAGGGATAGTCTGAACACAACCTATGGGGATGATAACAACTAATAACGGTCATTTAATGGGCTGATAACATTCGAAGTGGGTGCAATATCGCTAAAATTAGAAACATCTCGTCTGAAAATGATGCAGAAAAACTGGTTCATATGTTTATCAAATCTAGGTTGCACTATTGCAATGGTTTGTTATCTGGGTGTCAAAAAAAAGTCTTGAGTTAATCCAAAATGTTGCTGCCAGAGTCTTATCTGGAGTTAGTAGGAGAGATCATAGCTCATATCATATATTGGCTCCCTGTCAAATACAGAATTGAATTCAAAATCCTACTTCTAACCTACAAAGCTCTCAACAACCTAGCTCCATCTTATGTTACATATGTTATATTTCCTTACTTTCCTAAAAGAGCACTTCGTGCTCAGACTGCAGGTTTACTTGTGGTTCCTAGAGTTTCCAAAAGCAGAATGACAGGAAGAGCTTTCAGTTCTCAGGCTCCTCTCTTGTGGAACCAACTTCCAGTTTCTGTCTGTGAGGCTGACACATTGTCTACATTTAAGATTAGGCTTAAGACGTTCCTTTTTGATAGATCATATAATTAGGGTTGGCTTGGGTTTCCTGAGTTATCCCTTAGTCATGCTGCTATAGGCTTAGTCTGCTGGAGGACAAATTGACCACATTTCCTCACTCTGCTTCTGTCTTTACTTGCTCTACTCTACCTGTTTGTATTTGTAATTATTGTCTTTCCTCCTAATGAAAGTACATCTGGACCTGCCATTGTGTGTCTGTTCCTCTCAAACCCAGCCGGTCAAAGCAGATGGCCGCTTGTCCTGAGCCTGGTTCTTCCTGTTATGTGGGAGTTTTTCCTTTCCACTGTTGCCTTTGTGCTTGCTCAGGATGAGAGACTGTGACGAAGGGAAGGTTCGACACAATCTGTGGCTTTCTAAGATAGATAACTTTTACTAGTTGTCTTTTATAATATGTGAATGTTTCTGTTTGGTGGCCTGAGACAACTTCTGTGGTTATTTGGCGCTATATAAATAAGCTGAATTGAATTAAATTTACATGTAAGCATCTGAAAAGTTCTTTTTTTAAAGTAGATTGTTTCATCACTAACAAAGCCCTGTTACTTCCAGTTTTGCGTCTAAATCTGGAAATGTCCAGAAGGAGCTGGTTTGTGGCTCTCAGAGCTCACATTAACCTGACAAGGTCAAATCAGTCAAATGAATGTCTTCAACCTATAAAATACTTTTATAGACACGGTGGAAATATCACTTTTAACACCAACTCTGACCTATTTCAGTAAAATACAGCAATATAATGTTTTTACTGCTTGAACATGTAAATGTGTAATTTTACACTCAAAGATATTGATCTTCACATTTTACTTTTAAGAGAACAAAAGTAGAGTCAGCTTATT